TTCAGCCTCCCCAGGACCCTGTCTACGTCCTCGGGAGCAACAGAGTCAAACTCCTCCCATACAACCATCTCAAGACCTGCTTCCGTCTCCTCCCCCTGGGCCAACCAGTCGGAGTCTAAGCCTTCTCGGATCCGCGCGACTTTGTCATACAGATATTGAACAAAATCCTCGGCCCTCCCCTCCAGGGGATCCCCCCCCCCTCAATTGAAGGAGGGAGCGGGTCACCCTGAAGAGGGCGGCCGGGCGATTATCTGATGACGCGATGAGTGAGGAATAGTAGTCCTAGCCACCCTCATCGCCACTAGGTAGGATCTAACATGTATCCTTACCTGTGTTCGAGCGGATTCGGTTCGGCTGGCCCTCCAACTGCTCTCTAGGCGTCTTTTCCGACGTTTCATCTCTCTCAGCTCCCCGGTAAACCAGGGATATTTAGAGGATCACATTTGTTCTATTCCCTGTCCTCTTTGTGCACTTTTGATCTCTTGCCAGAAATAATCACTGTAAATGTTTTATTCCCAGTTTCACTTTTTAGCAGATATTACCCATTTTGACCAGCAGTCTATTAACATTTTTCTGTTTCAGAAGAATTATGTAGTACCCTGTTGCTGACTAGCAACCAATAAAAAGGAGCTCAATGTCTCACAAGTGAACTGCCTCAGTCAGGCAGGGAGAGCTGCCATGGGTACATATTTGGTCAATTATTAGCACTGCCCAAGATAGATACAGGACAATAAGCGTCAGTTTGGTCTAGTGGTTAAGGCACCAGGCTACAAACCAGGAGAACCTGAATTCTAGTCCTGCCTTAGGCATGAAAACCAGCTGGGTGACTTTGGGCCAGTCACTCTCACTCAGCCCAACTCACCTCACAGGGCTGTTGCTGTGAGGAAAATAGGAGGAGGAAGGAATATTAGGTATGATGACTGCCTTAAATGTCATTAACTTTCATTTAATGCTACACAGTTGGTGTACCAGCTACTCCATCTCTCCTTATTTCTCAGCTGCTTCCAGCAATGGTGACTGAGTACTACATTTTCTATTCCATGCCCAACCCTTGTGGACACATTCACTATGCTAAGTCACATCTTGACTTGCTCACCAGCAATCAGTGTATTCTGTTGTCGAGCCTGCTCCAGAAGCAAGACATGTTGAAGCAAGGAAGCATGCCCTTGATTGTTGGTCTCTCCCTCAAGGGCTACCCCCAGAAGGCAACTGGGAATAGACGACATGCTGAGGAACTTGCTTGTCAAGGCACCACCCTGGCACAATGACTGGATGGTCTGGCGCTCTACTTCGTGCTGTGTGGTTAGGTTTGGGGAGGCCTAAAGGAAAGAGAGACAAAGAGGGCTTGCAATTGCCACAGAAGCCCACAGAGTGCCAACATCCAAGCTGTTTTAATCCACTATCCACTTCCTGCACTTCCCTATTCACAGAGAGAGAGAGATAAAAACAGAAAGTAATATAAAGTAGGAGAAAAAAGGAATAAAGGTACCAAGGAAAGAGCTAAAAGTGCAAGAGGAAAAAAAGAAAAAGAAAAGAGACAAAGAAGTACCTTCCAATTTTCTTTATAGCAGTTATAAGTACAATTATAAATTTACCTCTTGCTCTATTCTTACAAAATAACTTTTTTCTATAATCTATTCTTTCTAATCATTAAAACCATAAATCATAAGTTCCTTTTTTTCCTACTTCACACAAAACAGAAAAAAACCTATAAGGTATTTCCAGTTAGCAGTAAACATAAATATTGTCTTCTTTGAACAAAGAAGTCAATTTAGCCATCTCAGCAAATTCCATCATCTTTACCAACCATTCCTCCATTGTGGGTAATTCTGAATCTTTCCAGCTTAAGGAAAAAGGAAAAGGCAAGCTTTCCCCTCCTCCCTTTTGTCTTCCTGTGCCTTTAATAGTTTACTCTCAAATGGCATTGGATAGTTAGCATTCAAAAGCACTTTCACTAAAAAATAATCTTACACAATAATTGTCCCTTTTATCCATTTTAAACTTTCTTAAAACATCTTGTTAATCCTTTGTCAGAAGTTCTTAAGTCTTTAAAACCTTTTTCTCTTCATTATTTTGTAATCCAGAAAAAAATGATAACCTACCAAGTGGAATTTTATCCTGCTGCAAAGAAAATTTCTTTAGCTATAAATTAATTAGTTCCAAGAGTGATTAAGAAATGAAGTTTGGCTGAACTCTTATGTCCATATAGGTTACTTTACAGCTGTGAGCTTAGATGGAATCCTTTGACTCCCAACACTCAACTCACAAACCAACTGCACAAACCTCTGTTTCTGCAGTTACTGATGAGGAGCAGCTCTCCAGAGTGCAAGTGGGTAATCTCATGATCTCTCCTTTGTCCAGAACATTTTTGCCAGCCAGCATTGACTCTCTGGCCGCCATCTCCACTGCAATGTCATCTCCACTCTTTTAGAGATGTCTAGTTTGCCATGATCCTCACTGGAAGCCTCCTCATTGCCCCCGCACTTCTTTATCACCGGGGAACCAAATTTTCCAAACAATTGTCAAACTTTGCAGGGCAGGCATACTGTTATGGTTCCGGCTAATGAAACACTTCAAAGAACTTCCAGGCATTGATTTTCGTAAAAGTCATTTATTGTTACAAAATGTCGGCACAGGCATAACGAAGGTATGTCAAGGTCTAAATTCTCCTCCCCCGAGCAATTAAATTATCAGCATGTTCCCTCCCTAAATTAGCTGTCATATATCACCTTATCCAATTAGTGTGAAGGTCAAAGGTTTCCTTCCTCTCTCTTTCCCTCCACCCTCTTCTGCTCTGCATTAACTCTAAAAATACCAGACAGTTCTGCATATTGTCAAAGTAAGAATATACAGTATTTGCAGCGTTGACACATACTTTAAAAAGAACCATTTGGATCTTTATTGCTAATAAGGTAAAGTACGAAATTTCAAAAGCCTACTAAAGCAATTCTTCAGTTCAACTTACACCTAGCATAATTAAGTGGTGTTATTCCGAGTCACTTTCTCACACTTCCGCCCTCCTCTGGGCTGAGGTGTCTCTTTGGCAATGGTTCTGTTTCCTCCCCTATATTCCCAGGGCCTTCTAGGTGTTCCATCATAATGGTCTATGGAGATTCTCAATCATCCAGGTCATGGTTGTTCCAAAGGTGCTTTTTTTCTAACTGACAGTCAGTGAGAACTGAAGAAGCTTCTTGGACATCTGGTAATACCCTTTCAATGGTTGGTGCTAAATGCTGTATAATTTTAAGCAGAATCTTGCTGATGTGAGAGATGAGAGCAATTGTAGGAGTCACCCGATTTCAGGGAGGAGCAATTTTTAGAGTCACCCGATTTCAGCAGTGGAATGAACACTGAGTGTTTCCAATCTTGTGGTCACGTGTTGGTTTCCCAGATTTTCTGGCACAGGTACAGTATCTAATGACTCTGGATGGTACAGGTCTCAGTAATTCTGCAGGGATTGTGTCAACACCTGGAGTCTTGTTGTTTGGCAGCTGGCTCATCGCCCATATGATCTCTTCCTCAAGGATGGCCTGTTCTACTTCTCTTTCCTCGTCATCCTGAGGCTGGGTCCCTTTGCTACCTGCGTACAGCTCTTCTGTATATTCTCACCATCTGTTCTTGATGCCTTGTTGGTTGAACAGTTCTTTCCTTTGCTTGTCTTTAATGATGCCTTTATGAGCAATAAATGGTGCTTGAATCTTTTGGACTTGCATAAATACATTCCTTCATGTAGTCCACTTCAAGCTGTTTATCTCACTCATCCCAGTAAACTACATTATCCTTCCTTGCTGCCCTCTAGAAAGATGCATTCAGTCTTCTTACTTCTTCCCATTTGCCTGCTGCCTTGGCAGCTTTTCTTCGCTCAGCTATTTTGGTGGTTTCATCTGAGAGCCACTTGCACTTTTTTTCTAGCTTCTTGTATGGTATGTGTTCTTTTGCAATTCCAGTAATGGTTGATTGAATTTCCTGCCACAGTTCTCAGCAGTGTCCAGTAGTTCAAACCTATTTTTTACCCAAATTGTATATGTAGTAGGGATTTTAATGACATCAAATTTCTTTGGAGGCATTGCCTTTTTGATAGTGCATAGTTTGACTTTAATCTTTGCCACCAACAATTCATGATCTGAACCACAATCAGCACTTGGATATATCTTAACAGCAAGGACTGAACTCTGGTCCATCGATGACTACTTGGACAGTCAATCCGATTATGGTGAAGTCTATTTGGTGAGGTCCAAGTGTATAAGCGGCACTTGTGCTGTTTGAACCATGCATTCATGATCCTAAATCTGTTTTCTTGGAAAAATTGTACCAAACGAACAGCTGCATCATTTCCCTCACCTAGTCCAAAATGACCAGTGATGCCTGTCTCTGCTTGTTTGCCAACTTTTGCACTGAAGTCACCCAGAATGTAAACAATGTCTTTTTTTAGACACAAGGAGTCCTTGGTGCTCTCTGAGCTTGGTTGTTTTCTTGCAGACGTTTCATTACCCAAACTACCATGTTTTCCCAAAAATAAGACCTACCCTGAAAGTAAGCCCTAGCTTGTTTTTGGGGGGAGGGCCTAATATAAGCCCTACCCCAAAAATAAAACCCAGCTACGGTAGGATCGCCAACCAGATGGGGTGTGTGGCCAGCTGACGTCGCTCGGGTTGGGAGTGCCTACGGGGGGGGGGAGGAAGATTTCTTCACACACCCCTTACCTTCTCCCCAAGAAATTGCCGTGTCAACTCTACAACGAGCCTGGCTGCAGCCATCTTCCTCGTTCTAGGTTGCCATAAAGATGGGAGGGGGTGCAGAGGATTTATGCTAGTCTAAACAAGTGACTGTCCCGTGGGAACCAAGGTCATTTCTGCCAGTTAGATTGGGAGGGGGAGCATCTGGGTAAAAAGCCCACCAAACCATTCTATTGGGAAACGTAGCTGTTTGCATAGCACTGGGGTGGGAAGTTTAACTTTGTAATAGGGTAATTCTTTGGAGGGAATTTCAGACTTGGTTTCACTTTTGACTGTGGACCCCGAGGAGGACCCCGAGGAGGACCCTATGGTAAGCGAGCCAATAAGTCCCTTTACCATACCGGTTTCCCTGACGAGTCCGACCACGGGCCATACTGGGAGCTACCAGGCGCTGATCGATTCCGGATGCACTCGGTGTCTGATCAGCATGAAGGTGGTGAAGGAGGTGGCCATCAAGGTCCACCGCCTGGCTCACCCTATCCGATTCGAGCAGGTGGATGGCTCCCTCCTGGGTGGGGCTCCAGCCACACTTGTGACAGAACCGGTGCGTTTGGACATGGGGGAACATTGGGAGGTTCTGAGGTTTATCGTGGTTCCCTCCATGACGGAAGCACTGATTCTAGGGTTAGCCTGGCTAGATAAGTGGGGCCCAACTATATGGTGGGGTGGTGGTTGTCGTCACATGTGTCTTGGCACCGGCCCAAGGCCGCCGAGTACAGACGGGGACATAAAGGAAAGGAGCATGAACGCGGCTGCTATGGCATCGGAGACACGGAAACGGCCGTCTGACTTCCCGGTGGAGTACGAGACGCTGGCGGAGGTGTTCAGCGAACGGGGTTGCGACAGCCTTCCACCCCACCGCCCTACGGACTGCGCCATTGAGATCTTGCCAGGAGCCAAATTACCAAAGCCCCGTATGTACCCCATGACTCCGAGGGAGTTAGAGGAATTGAGACAGTACGTGGATAAAAACCTGCCGAGGGGTTTCATACAGCCGGCACGGTCCCGGATAGCGGCACCGGTGCTATTCCAGGAAAAAAAGGACGGAGGGCTGCGACTATGTGTGGACTTCAGGGGGATCAACGCCGTTTGTATAGAACATCTGTATCCCCTTCCGTTAATGAAAGACCTGTTGGCCCATCTGGCCAAGGGGAGGGTGTTTACCAAGTTGGACCTACGGGAGGCCTATTACAGGGTCAGGATCAAATCAGGGGACGAGTGGAAGACGGCCTTTAATTGTCCATTGGGCAGTTATCAATTCCGGGTAATGCCCTTTGGTCTCCAAGGGGCCCCCGCGGTTTTCATGCAGCTCATCAATGGAGTCTTGCATGAACATCTGTACCGCGGGGTGCTCGTATATCTTGACGATATACTGATCTATAGTAGGACACTGGAGGAACTGCAGGTTAACCACGCGCTGCACAATGCATTCGACAATCTGCGTGTGAACATACAGTTTAATAGTTTCACACTCAAAGTGTCCAGGGTCGACCTGATGGACCCAAAGGGGATATCGGCAGCAGGCGTGGAGATGGACCCAAACAAGGTAAAGAGCGTGCTGGAGTGGCAGGCCCCAAGGACACGCCGTCAGCTACAAAGCTTCCTGAGGTTTGCTAACTTTTACAGACAGTTCATCCCCTCGTTTGCTCTGGTTGCGCTGCCTCTGACCAGCCTCTTGCGGACCAAGACGGCTACATCCAAACCCTGTCCAGGACAGCCATTGGCGTGGACAACGGATTGCCAGAGAGCCTTCGAGTCGTTAAAGGCATTGTTTGCAAGGGAGCCGGTCCTCCTACATCCGGATCCAGAACGACCTTTCGTAGTCCAGGCAGATGCCAGCGACGTGGCGGTGGGAGCAGTGCTACTCCAACGAAACAGGCAGGGGAGATTGCAGCCCTGTGCCTATACCTCAAAGAAACTGACGGACACTGAAAGAGCCTGGGCCATCTTGGAAAAGGAGGCGTTCGCGGTGAAATGGGCCCTATCCACCTGGCGGCATTTATTAGAGGGGGCAAAGCAGCAGTTCGAGGTTTGGACAGACCATAAGAACTTGGAAGTGTTGCAAACCCCCAGAAGGTTGTCGCCAAAACACGTTCGGTGGGCACAACACTTTCGCCGATTCAACTTTGTCCTTAAATATGTGCCAGGGGGCAAGAACTTCCTGGCGGACGCTTTATCCCGGTTACCACAATACAACAGCAAAAGGGAGGAGGTGGTACAGGCGATCATGCCCCCTTATGGACAGGAAGGGGCAAAAGCAGTCTCCAGACCGGTGGTGGTACCCCTTGAGGAAGAATTACGAACAGCCCTCAAAGACGACCCATGGCTACGGGAGAATCAAGGGTTGTTAACCCAAAGAGAGGGTTTAGCCTGGTACGGCAACAGATTGTACATCCCCCCATCGGTGCGCAGCCAGGTGTTCCACCGCTGCCATGACTCCAAACAAGCAGGCCACTTCGGGTTCCTGAAAACCTTACATCTGGCCCGTCGTCAGTTCTGGTGGCCCCGGATGTGGTCTGATGTAGAAACCTATGTAAAGGGGTGTCCAGTTTGTGCTACCAGGTTCGGATCAGGACCCTCCGGGTACCCAAACAACGTCGGTCACCGACTGGGGGTGGTCGGTACCGTCCTGTATCGGTACCTGAAATAGCACCTTGACGGGTT